GAGTGCTATCACATTGGTCTCAGGGAAGTTAGTGGGGCAAGACCAACTGAGCCGGGCCAAGAGCACCGGAGTGACATGTGTCCAAGGCACAGTAAATTTCTACCCCACAATTCCAATATGGATTGAGATCCAGGGAAACACTACCAAGATGACTGCAGGGGTGGTCCCAAAGCTTCCCTACCCGGTCTTAATTGGCAGGGATTTTCCTGGGTTCGAGAGCCTACTCCCCCCCATCAAGTTAGGGGGAGGGAAGTAAACCCCAAGCAGAGCTCGAGGCGCCCATGGATGGCCCTACCACAATTTTTGCTGTGTTTTCCCCAGAGTTATTTTCACTGCCCGGGAAGTCCCGGAAATCTAGACAGGAAAGGAGGGCAGATAAAAGATTGGGAACCAGGATTTTGGCAGTAAACCAGAGAGCTGCCCTGGTTGGGAGGAAGCCCCGTCAGGGAAACCGCAAGGTAGTACGCACCAGTGGAGACCCAGAGACGGCCCCCAGCATGAGCGGAAGCACCCCAAGAGAAGGAGGGGAGCCCAGTCCAATAGAATCAGGCCAGATCGGTCCCGCACACGAGTGTTTTGGGCAGGACCAAGCCAATGACCCTCTTTATGCAAACGTGAGGGAGGAGGTAGTAGAGGTAAATGGCGTGCCAGTAGAAGGAAAAACCAAGGCCCAGGGCCATACTATATAATCAAACAGGATCTGTTGTACCGGGTAGTGCCAAATGGGGGGGGGAAGTAGTAGAACAGCTCTTGGTGCCAAGGAGGCACACAAGGGCTGTATTAGAGTTAGCTCAGAGTCATCTGTTTGGGAGACATTTAAGAGCAGACAAGACCCTGGATAGAGTCCTAAGGAGTTTCTACTGGCCGGGGGTTCGGGCAGAAGTCCAGCGCTATTGCGAGGACGACAAAAAGGAATTCATCCTACAAACAGACGCCTCAGAGATAGGACTTGGGGCCGTCCTTTCACAGATGGTGGGGGATGAGGAGCACACAATCCTTTACCTCAGCCAAAAGCTCCTGCCTAGGGAGCAACGGTACACCGTAGTAGAAAAGGAATGCCCAGCAGTTAAATGGGCCATGGATATTCTACAGTACTACCTACTTGGGCGGCGGTTCACCCTTGTGATGGACCACGCCCCACTCCAAATGATGCACACAAACAAGGAGAGGAATGCACGAGTGACTAGATGGTTCCTATCCCTACAATCTTTCGACTTCCGGATACAGCATAGAGTCAGAAGCCAACACAGCAACGCGGACAGCCTGTCAAAACAATACTGTTTCTCGTCCCAAGTAGCCCAACCCCATGGTGTTGAGTGGCCGGGGGCGCAGAATATGTGATATAGGAGGGCCAGAGAGCAGTGGGAGAGTGGTAGAAGGGAAATAGGAACCTAATAAAACCCCGTTTCAGGCAGTCAGGGAGGAGGAAGGAGAGAGGACTGGAGCTTGGAGGTGTGTTGTGAGATTTGAAAGACTAGAGAAGTGAAGTAAGGGAGACTCCCTCCCCCAGCGTCTAAGGGCCGAAGGTAGCCCACCCAAAGGGGGAAGAGGATAAGAACCCACAGGGGTTGAGAGGGGCTGGGGCTCAGAATGAGGAGCAAACCCAGGCCCCTCCCCTGCTTCCCTCCTCTACCACCTTCCTGGGACACTAGTGCCCCAAGAGCAGGGGCAAAGGGTGGCATCTTAGCCTCCCCCGCCAAGAAAAGCGCAGGACCCACCATACTAACATCGGCCATCTTGCCACACTATTTACAAAACCAAAAAAAAGGGAATGCTAGGGAAGAAGCTCCAATGACTGTCACTGGCAGTAAGGAGGAACTGAAGAGGCGGCGGGTTGGTAGGGCCCTATATACACCGCCATAAAGGCACCACTCCAGGGGGCTCCACAGCCGACTCAACAGGTACCGCTAGGGGAAAAACCTTCTGACGACTGTGCACGTGGTACACACACACCTACTCGGAATTGACATGAGCAATCACTCGAAGAAGAACTGAAGGTGCTGTTCTTAGACTCTCTGCATTCAGCCTTGTTATGCACAGATAGAGTGCTCTCTCTTTCAACAGCAGACTGTCATTTATTACTCCTGTCATTGGCCTTGTTCAGAATATTGCTTAAAATACTCATATCTTGCATCATTTTTACTTTCACTGGCTTTCAAAAGCAACAGGTTTATCTACTTTCTACATTCAATGATACATGCTTGAACTCGAGGAGGGCAATTATGCTCCTAATTGGAACCAATATGCAAAACCAACACTCCTACCAGTCTTAACATCAAATTATTATTATTACCCTTTTAATATAACCAAAATAATACATTGTGGGGATAAACTAATGCCTGACATCTGAAACTTCAAATTACTCAAACTACCATGAATACTGATTTGTTGATATGTCCAATAGCAATTACATTACCATCCTCCATTCCTAATTCAAACCAAATGCATATATTGCGCTCATATGTTGCATAACCCATGAGAATTATAGAAACCTGGTTTCCTACTAGAGAAGTGTACCATACTGTGTACCACACAGTGGTCTTATCTTGTGATTTGTCTATTACAGCACTTCAACTAATCTAGGTAGGGCCTTTTAATCATTTTTTTAAATTAAAAAAAGATTCAAGAAGGCTAATGTAATGATTACCATTCATAATAGACAAGGAAAGGAAGTTTGATGGAAAACAAATCAAAATCCACCACAAATTTTGTTAACTGGAAAAGTTTTTAACCCTCGTTCATGGCTAAATGACTAGTATAAAATGTGCCAGTCACTGTAGTATGTATGTATTTGTGGCATTTCTAAGGTGCCTAACTCTGGTATTCAAGCATTGCATAGTTCTAGGATGTAGGTGCCAGATAAATATTTAAAGATTATAAAGGAATTTTCAGTTAAGAACTCTGCTCTCTGCTGCATGGATCAGGTGCTCTTCATAGATGTTTTGCATCCTCATCTTTTCCTCCCACTTTATTTTTCCTTTCATGAGGAGTGCAAGATTATGTCATTGTGGGAAGACTTCTGAAGAGGTGCATCTCACATCATTGTTTAAACATGGTAAGACTCTAGGATTCATCTTGATGTCTGACAGCACGTAGTCTTATAGTTTAGGGCCTTCTATTCTGGATGCCCTGCCTTCTATTAGGTGGGTCTTCTACCCTGGTCACACACAGATTCCCTACCTCCAATGAATTTAGTGTCTTGGTGGGTCACAATAGAGAAACTGTCTGCAAGACAACAAGCTGGAGTATGGCAAAGGGTCTTAAAGATTAGGACTACAATCTTGAATTGGACCTGAAGTTAAATGGGGAGCAAATGGACAGTGACATTTGGTGTTGCTGGTCTTTCCTCCATAGGAGGCAGGCAGCTGTATGTTGCATGAATCAAAACTTGTAAGTGGCCTTCATCTTTAGCCCTAGGTGAAGCAAGTCACAGTACTCAAATTGGGAGATGAAAGAGTGGAGCACAACTGTCTGGTCCTCATCTGAGAGGAATGGGCACAATCGCCTTCCCAGCAGACGGGGGAAGACAATCTTTCTTTTTACTGTTGCTGTGTGTGTCTAAGAGCACTGGTAAACCCAACATGAGCCCACCATGGTGCACTAGTTTGATAACTGGTGTGCAAAAACTCTCAATAGTGATGGGGACAGAGGTTTCAGATATAGAAACACACTGAAAAAGAAGAGACAGATTGAGCTTTAAGAGAACTCTCGGAAATGTAAAGCAGTTACCATTCACAATTCTCTCAGATATATCAGACAGGAATGAATCAAGCCAGCTTGGTGCTTCATCATCTATTCCAGCTGTCTCATATATGTGAGGCCATTTAAAACAATGTTGTAAAATCAGCACCTGTTGTGTGCCCTATCTCACCAGAGGTTGGTTGAAATGCTTGTGTAGTACTCTCATGCTCCTGTTCAGTATGAAGCTGCTTCATGCTGATTAAGTGCTATGGAGTGTCAGTAACTTGAGCCCCTCAAAATAGAAGAGATTTTGATTCTTCATCATGATATTAATTGGGGTGCATTAAAGGTTCTCCCCTCCTATTTAACAAGAAACCTACATCCACTATTTCCTTAAATTCTTGCTCAAATGCACACCAACTTTGGGGACAGTTCTTTAAAAACCACAGTATTACTGTTAGTGAAAATAGCATAAATACTACAAAATAAAATGTGTATTAATAAGAAAAATAATCACATTGCTGCTCTTATTTATAATTTGTTAACCATTATCACTCCAAATAGGTCCCTTTTGGAATAGTTTTTTTCATAAGACAGGAATCCTATTAATTGTAAGTGAATATAAAATGTATATTCTTGTTAAGGAATGATACACCACAACAAATCAAAAGCATCACAGATTCCAAGGGTGAGTCATACAATTGTTTCATCCAAAAACAACAAAATGTATTAAGGTCCTTAGGAGGCACTATTTCAATTAAACTAATTATCTTTCTGGTAGCACCATAATCCTAGCTCTCAGCACTAAGTAATGTAGATCTTGTAGAGCTTTAGGTATTTGATATGTTACCTCTTATTCTAGGATGTGCTTGAATCTGAATCCAGGTATTGTCACATAAAAAGTTCTCAGTTTACATTAACATTTTAAAAAGGTAAACTGAACCACTTGCTATTAAAGAAAAATAGTTTGAAATCCTAAGTCATTTAAGACATATATAGACAATCTACAAATATCCACAACTTTAAAGCCACATTGACACACCACTTTAGAACTAAGATGGTCTTCTTACTGGATGCTACCCATCCTTGTCTACAATTTTGCTTTGACTAAAGGAACATTTTCGTATTCTTAATAGTTTTCAAAGTAAAAGTAACTAACATTTCTTTATGACTGACAAAACATTGCTGCACTCTATGGCTTTAAAGAAATAAAACCAGCTACTACACTAAAAAACAAAAATACAAACTGATTAATTACTATATATTTTGTATGGTTAGTTCTGAAATTTGTTTCCAAAAACTAAATGCTCATACTGTACCTGAATTTCAGCTATTGCCAAATTTAAGTCACAAAGCCAGTTCTTTTTAAACTGTCTTGCCTGAAATCTTCAACAAGAGAAAATTGTTAATTATAGTTACCTGTTTGAGAGTATAGTACTTTGTATTATCACTAAAAAAAAAAAAAAATAAAAAAAAAAGCACTGTTTTCAGTCCTAGATCATTACCTTTCTAACCCCCCAGCACCCCGGCTTACATATACCACTCAAGAGGGAAAAGGCAAATATATTTAATCATATTAAGAATGTTATTTGTGCTTCAACAGTGTACTATTGTAATGAATACTGCACAAATCATTTTCAACAAATATTTTACTAGACTACTTATCATATTTCTCATAAATATTATTCTAGTGAGAAAACTATTTCCACAGAAAAAGGCATTAACTTGCAATAGAAAAGATTTATCTCAATGTAACTATCAATGAAAAGGCAGTGATAAGACAAAATGTAAACTGAGTTTCGTATATCCCACTAAGTTCTATAACAATCTCAAATTATGTCAAATTACATGAGGAAGTGTGATCTAGTGAACAGAGCAAGAGCATGGTTGTAAGGTGTCTTTTTCTGGCTCTGCAATTGACATTCTGTGATACCTTGCACAGCATACTTAATTGTGCATCAGCTTCCTTATCTGTAAAAATGATACAACCTACCTTACACAGGTGTTGTAAATAATTTAAAACACTGAGTTCATTAGATGATTTTCCCAAGGTCACACCGTAATTTGTGCATGCTACTCCCAGCTGTGTTAATCAGATTTAATAATCATGAATGCTGTGGAAAATCTAATAAACAACAAACAAAAATCCTGATTCCCATTACTTGGTGTCAGCATTCTCCATTAAACTGGCAGCCCTTTTAAATATCATAAGCATGTAGTTACTGAATAATTAAACTTCTGATTTTTGTACAAAGCGTATAAATTTGCCCCTTTTTACCATGCTTTCTAGTTAGTAACAATCCAAAAACTGGAATATACTTTCAGTCTGTTCTTTACATAATTTTGTATTAAATGAAAACCAGAAGAAACCATTAAATATATTTTGCACATTAACTGTAAAATAACTCCCTAAACTAAATACGCACCTTGATTTCATGTTCAAAATAACATTAATTTCTTGACTGGAAACTTGCAGTTGGTGAAGGAACTTAATAATACAGTTAAAATGTTCAAGCTCAAAAACCATCCCAGCATCAAAAAGCTGTAGCATCAAAAGAAAAAAATGCAGATGTATATACAAATTAGCATCTCTGAAATATTTCCAGAACCAAGTAGCAAGCACAATGGAGGCTATAACATAATAGCCTAAGAAATAAAGGTGGGAGAGAAGATTTAAAAAAAATAAGGGATAAAGAGGAACCTGTACAAAGAGCCTAGCTACATTAGAACAAACATGCTTATTTTAATTCAATCTTTAAAATTTCATTGTCCAGGTTTTAAAAGTAGGCAAGACGTTTTTGTGAAACTGCCACACAGGAGGAGATAATGGAAAAAAGTCATACCTTACAAAAGATATCTATTAATGAAGGCACAGCATCTCTTATATTCATGGAAGCCACATGCTCAAACACCTTCAGGAATACATCAACAGCTGGCTAAATAAAAAAAATATAGTATTAAAAAAAATCCTAATAGTTTAATCATTTGTCTCCTGTAAAGATTTTAGAGTTTTCATAATAGTAGTTTATGAGTTGCCTTATGCAGAGTTTTGTTTTTCAGAACTGAGTCCACGTAAACAAAACAGAAAACTTATTACAGTTAACTTAATGAGTTTTAGGAGAATTATGATCCCATGAATCCTATAGACTTTCAAAATGTTTCATGGCCACTTACCAGCATTTTAATCATTACAGCAACATTTAACAACTGAAATACTTCTTTCAACAAACAACACTTGATCAAAGAAAGGAGAAGATCATTCAGCACTTGTGAATCAAAATGCACACCAGGAGTAACTTCTCTGTAGTAATTCATAAATATCTGGACTGAAAAAAACAACAACAACAAATGAAACAGTCAATCATATTTGCAGGTATCTGACATTCTTAAGTATTTAAACAACTTATTTCCTGAAACAGAAGTTATTTCTTAATACAGGCACTATATTAAAATACAAAAGTGAAAACAAAATATTTTGTGATAAATTCGGTGAGTTTAGTTGCAATAATGGGAGCCACACTGACTCAGATTCCTGAATTATCCATAAAACAGATACTGTAAAAGGATCAGCAGTGCCATACTACATTGCCACACAGACGAGCCTCCACCATGCACTGGAGAACACTTAAGAGAAGGAAGAGTTCAACCTCCATATCCATTTAGTGACTGGCAACTCTGCTGAGATGGACAAGATACAATGCAAACTGAGATGGTGTTTGTTATGTCAACACCTGTCCACTAACTGGACCTATTTCACACAGGCAACACAAGTGTCAGACAGCAATCACTTTTTGTCACTCCCAAGATCAGGTATTAATCAGAGGGAATACTAGAGATTAAAAGATCCATATTCTATTATCAATCCTCAGAGCCACTCAGCTTTGCTCATCATATTTTCATTGAATCACAGAAACTAGCAATGAAAAAGATATTACTAGAAGATCTATTACTATTCTACAGTAAATTTAGTCCAGCCTCACTGGAAATACAGGAAATCTGACTAGAGCACTTGTTCCAATCTAATTTAAAATGCCCCAAACAATATGGCTTTCACCACTTTGGGAAAACAATTTAGCAACACCTCCCACTGTCAGCAAGCATTCCACCTGACATTAAGTTTATGTTTCCTCTCAAAGAAACACTGTCAACTTAAAGTCAGACTTCCATCTAAATACTTTTCATCTACTATTGTAACTAAGATTGCTAAAAATAAAATTGACAATTTTTCTCTATGCACTTTGTGCCTGAGACAACATTTGGCATATAGTTAGTTTCGCTGTTTCCCAGCATAGTCAATCTCCTCTTGTTTGTGTGAGCCTTCTACATACAAATAGGAAAGAGAAAAACATTTTAACACACAAGACAATGATTTATTTGACCAAAATTGCAAGATACTTGGAAGCATTATAATTCCCTGAATCTGCTTTTTTTTTTTTTTAAACAAACTATATTTCAAGTTCAATTTGATCCTGAAGGACATAAATCCACACCGTGTAGAGGTCAAAGCATAGAGGTTTATTACACACAGCGCTGGTGGAGTGTCACCTGGCTTATTAGGCTCAGAGACACTGTCAATCAATTGATTACAATGAAATATATAGATTTTCCATGGGCGGGGGAAAGTGACGGGGTAGGCAGTTCCACACCCCAGGATAGGTTTTGCAGCAAGACAAGATAGCACATTAGCCAATGGTTAAAAGGTTACATAATGTCTCCGCCCATGGTCTCAAATTAGCAAGTTAACATTTAATTAATACTTTAATAAAATGTTATTAGTATAAAATATATATGTTGAATTTTGATTTGGGGTCCATAGGAATGGAGCAACTCCTTTGATTGTCCAACAGGTACATTTCTAGGGGTTAAAGCAAAGAAACAGTGAAAGGATATGGTAATACAGATTGTCTCCTTTATGCCTTAAGGCAGGGCATTGGTCCCTGGGAAGGGAGGTGGAAGGATGCCATATCATTATACTGACATGTGCCAATTTTCATAAACTCAAGGTTGGATCTGTGGGAAGACTGTTTTTCCTTCAGGAGAAACACAATAGGAACAGGGATCCTTTGTTCAATTTGAAACACTGGATCAAACATAATTATTCAGTTATTGCTTCAACATCTGGCATTTCTACTGACCAAGCAGATCTTAGCAAAGGCAATGTCATCTTGTTTACCCCAGCTTTCTCTTAGCTGATCACTATTAGCTAGGCCTCTGGTCTCCAGACCAAACTCTGGACTTTGGGTCTGAGAAAGAGCTGGCACAATCCATATACCACGTTGTTATATAACATGCACATGGATTTTAACCCTTCAGATCCCATTACTCCCAGGTATAATTCTCCTGTTTCTTGTGTACCAATCTATGACGGTAAGCCTGCAACTGAATAATGCGAGCAGAGAATTCCACTTCCACGGAGCTCTGTATGTGTACGTAGGTATGTCTATATGGATCTGATTCCAGGATCAGGGCCTAAAATTGCTGTCCATCCTTGGCATTTGCACCCTTCAAATACCTGTACAGTGTTATATTCTTCACACTATCTCAGAAGCCACGCTATGCACATTTAGCTTTTTTAGTCTTCATCAGAAATGCATTCATCCAACCATTCTTATCCCTATTCTTTAAACTCCCTGTAGTGATGTCATGATATGGAAAAATATATAAAAAAATAACCCTGAATGTATCTGTAATCAAATACTAAAATGTCTTAATCATAATTGTATGATTACTGCTTGGTTTCACTAGAGGGCAGAGTTAAAGTTGTTTGGGTGCCTTAACTGCATTTTTTTACCTTAACATGTTTGAATTTCTTTTAAATGTAACCTTAACTCTGAATTTCCTAGGTCTGTAATGCTTGGTTTTGGAATGATTACATCCCTGTAATATTTTTTTTATCTTTAAGTGTTGATATGCACTCTCAACCTAACTTTATCTTAGCATAGTTTGTCTAGGAATACGTTTAGGACTGCGTACAGCCATAAATCTATAGCAAAACACCCGTCAATGGGAGGTTTGCACAAAAAAAGGACCAATCATGATTCTCTTGCATTAACTAACTTGTTGTTATCATTACTCATTGTGATTTCACACAACTAGTCTGTCTTTCTGCTCATGGCTCCTGTCCTGGACTTCCTTTATAAATCACTATATTACACATTCATTTTCTGTTATATCATACCTGAACGTTGTAGCAAACTTGATTCATTGATATTTATATACGTCTTAAGTATTGCCATGCAAATCTAGAAAAACATAAGCAGAATCCATTACAACAGTGTAAGCTGTATTCCAACATATGAGTAGTCTGAATGTCAATTTTATATTGCAAGTAAGCATTAGGTTGCTTCTGGTTGATTAAATTACATCTGATGACAATGAATGCATGATAAAGTAGTTGGCCTATAGTCAAAGCAGTGCTAAAGCAGGACAGATACTGTCAACTTTAAAAGATTTTGGATGGCTGCTTTGGGACCTTTCTGAAGGAATTGTTGGGAATAACTGCATGTGTGTATAAATAGACCTATATCAGAATTTCCCACACAGATATTTGCATCAAGCAGGAGAAAAGATTGGAAATAAAAAAGGTTACCATGGTATTACCAGAGTTCACTAAAAGGTGAAAACAGGCATTCAGGAAAGGGAACAGATAAGGGTAGAAAACACAAGTGTGGAAGAAAAAATGTACAGAGACCCCGAGTCAAAAGGATGTCCAGAAATAAAATTGAGAGGAATGCACATATTACTTTGTTTTCCCATAAAGCAATATAAGGCAAGGCATGTAAGGGAGCTCAGAAAATTGACTTGAAGTTATTTCACTACAGACCAATGCCAGTGATAAAGAGCCTTTTAAAATAAATTATTTTGCAAGATTAAAATTAGGTATTAAAATATTTTGTCAAGAATTTCATTTGAAGGATCTTAAAATGCTTTAAAACATTAATGAATTTAGCTTTGCAATATAAAAGTATTCTCCTGTAATTTTACAGATGAAGAAACCAAGGCACAGTCAGATTAAAAGGACACTGTCAACTTGAAATCTTGTATTCAGTGTTGTTGTAACCGTGAGACAAGAAGGGGGGTGAGGTAATATCTTGTATCAATCTTCCATTGGTGAGGGAGACAAGCTTTCAAGCTCTGTGTAAACCTGAAAGCTTGTCTCTTTCACCAACAGAAGTCAGTCTAACAAGATAAATCAATCAACAGCAGGATACCAAGGGAGGAAAAATAACTTTTGAAGTGGTAAGAGAGTGGCCCATTACAGACAGTTGACAAGAAGGAATGAATAACAGTAGGGAGAAATTAGTATTGGGGAAATGTATTTTTCACCTCATGCATCCGATGAAGTGGGTTCTAGCCCACGAAAGCTTATGCCCAAATAAATTTGTTAATCTCTAAGGTGACACAAGGACTCCTCGTCGTTTTTGCTGATACAGATTAACACAGCTACCACTCTGAAACCTGTCACCATGTTTCAATTGAGTCATTAATTTGTAGAATACAGACAGTTTCAGAAAGAGCCACATCGACTCTAATTTTAAAAAGTTGACAACATATACTTCTCCATGCATGAGTAATTTTGAGGAGATCAATATGGAGGAGTCCAGAAGAATTTTAATGACAACACTGGATTCTAGACTAGGAGCTGATGTATCCATCAGCAAAATAGGTCAATTGAAGCCTAGAAGTTAGCAACATTTAAAAATCAGAATGTTCCGATTTGAAGTGGGATTGGAAATCATGCTGTTTATTAAAGGCTCCTGTTGATTCCACATATTGTTTCCCTTACATAGGGCATAATTTTATGAAAGAGCAGCCAACATGATTGTGTTTCATATGGGAACAACTGATTAGCATGGCAGATCTCTAAGGATCACCACACACACAATGATAGCAGGATTTTAACAGCAATGAGACTCCAAACAAGTATCTAAACAGAACTGCAGCCAAGAAAGTGGATGGCACTATATGCAGTAGCTTTCTGCCAGTTTCTGCGTCTACTGAAGTTTGTATAGTTAAAAAAATTTATTGACAGATGACTATGTAGCCAATTCGCAAGTTTCAGAGGCATAAGACTTTTCTGCACAAAATAAGGCTAATCTTGTCCGATAATCAGTTGCTGATTCAAGGGGTTTAATACCTTTAGAATTCTAAGCTTTGATACAGAGTTTTAACCATTAAATGAAGAACGTTACAACTTTAGTCCTTTTAACTGCTGAATGACAAGCTGAACAGAGGATCTAGCCCTATCTATATATGTTCTAACTGCCCTTCATATATCCAGTCAATGCAAATCTTTTTCCATAGCAAATGTTTTATAACACAAGGAAGGAAGCACCATCTTTTAATTAGGAATGAAGATTGGAGCATATGAGAATGGAAAATTTAATACTAGGACTCCATAGACAAGATTAGTAGTTCAGAAGTTAGTCACAGTGAAGTAGCTGCTACTAAGAAAGTTAACTTGATAGAAAAGTAAAATAGCATAGAGGTTCACAAAGAGATCTTAGGGCATCCACAAGAGGGTTAAATTTTCCATTGCTCTACTTGCTGGATTTCCTAAAGATTAAGGAATGCCACTACTCAATCTTTTCATATAGGACAGTGAGGAAATCAAAATTGATTTACTTACCCAGCATACTTGAGAAAGCAGAGGCATGTTTGACTATAACTATTTAGGTAGGAAATTTAATATCTAAGGAATTTTAGCAGGTCTGGCTTATAAATTTTTCCTCTTCAATTTACCTCATATCTGGTGGTATTCTGACTTAATCTATAGGTGTCTGTCTATATACTAAAGGCAAAAGTGTTTATGACTGCTGAAAATATTCTCCCTCCTTTCAATGCCTTCTTTCAAATTCCAAGATACCATATGGGGCTTCCCTGGGTTTGATGGCCTTAGAGGATAGTATGCCAGTAGATACTCCCTGATGGGAAGATGAAAAGAAATATCTTAGATAATTATTAGATCTTAGAACCAAGGTCTGAGAGGCTAGAACAGAGCTACCAATACTGCGGAAGCTCCACCCTGTTGTATTTTCAGTAGATTTTTGGGTGTCGGTGGCCGAAAGGGAAGGCACAGGGTAGATTTCCTTGCCACAAACAAGAGTGCAAGTCCAGGGCTTCTGCATACTGGTTGTGTCTGGAGAAGAATTAGATTTTGCCATTTGACTGGCAGATAGAGAAGACCACTATCAATGTTTCAAACTCTTGCATAATAAATGAGAACAGTGAGTTATAAATACTACTGCTTGTCTGCTCAGACAACTGGCAGCGAAATTACTCTGTTTTTATGGACATTGTCTTGACAGATGTCACAACTCACCACACAAAAGATACTGCCTCTTTGTTTCGGTCTACCTTAGATACCGACATGGCCTCCATTAGTGTAGTATCTGAGCACATCACAAGCTTTACTGTAATTTGTCTTCACAACACCCCTATGAAATAGGGAAAGAATGGTTACGTGTCCAACAGTACCTCTGGCTCTTCAAGATGTTGTAATCTGTGTGGATCCCACTGTAAACAGGCATGCACCTCATGCATGTGAGCTCAGAATCTTCTGAATAGCAGTGTCCGTTGGGGGCATGCATGTGCCTGTGTCTCCTTTTGCTCCCATATGAGGGCAAAAAGAGCAGAGTGGTCTCAACCCTCCCTCAGCAGACCTGTAATTCAAAGCCAGTGGTAACAGCACTTCGAAAGCAGGGATGAAGGGTGGGTCACGGGACCCACACTGAATAACAGTTATGGAAGGACAAGTAACTTTGAGTATGTGTTGATGTGGATCCCACTGTAGGTGACTGGCAAGTAGAATCCTCTACGGATGTTGGGGACGAGGAGTATCAGCGGCATCAGTCGAATAGGGATTGGAGTAACACCCCCACACCTCCAAATCTGGCATCTGATCTCAGAGCTAAATTCAGCACATATTTGACAAACATGAGCTGGTTGCTCCACTTAGTCGCCTTGCAGATTTCAGATATCAGCACATTGTGTAAACAGGAAGACGGTGACACTCGGGCTCTGGTGGAGTGCACTTTGATGTGAGAGATACATCTTATTATCTATTTTGAAAATTTTTGTGATGAAATGGCCTGACCTTTGGAACAGCCAACTATAGCCATAAATAGACGTTAGGACAATCTGAAAGATATCGTTCTATCGACGTACAAAGAACTCTGGATACCTGCAGGGTGTGGAACTTCCCCCCCCACATGTATGGAATGAGGCTTTGGAAAGATCACAGATAAGTTGACTAATTGGTTTCAGTGGAACTCAGAGATCACCTGGGGGATTAAATTTTGACACACATTTCAGTACGAACTTGTCTGTATGAAATGAGATGCACAGGGTTCCACCATGTGTGCCTGAATCTTACTCGTTCTACTGGCCAAAGCAATGGTCACCAGAAATACTGTTCTGAGAATAAGATGATGGATGGAGCACCCTTGAGAAGGCTTGACAATGTTCAGGTCCCTATTTGAGTAAATTCTCCAACTGGCAGGTAAGTGCATTAAGCCCTTAAGGAATTTGGATACGGACAGATGAGAGAAGACTGAGAATGGCTATGTGAAAATGATTTGCTAGTACTGCTGCCAAATGGATCTTGACTAAAAGTTCAGAATGTTTTAACTCCAGCAAATAGTCAAGAATCTTCAGTACTGGGACATACACCATGTCTAGGCCATGTTGGGCCACCCACATAGAGAATCTTTTCCATTTGAAGGAGTGAGTCTTTATTGTGGATAATTTCTTGTTCTGTGCCAGGATTTCATCAATGCATGAGAGGCAATCCCTTTCCATAGAGCTCAACAGTCCACAACCAGACTATGAGGTGCAGCAACTTCAAGTCTGGAAGTAACACTTGACCCCAATCCTGTAACAATAGGTCTGGGCAATCTGATGAGTGGTTGTGTAGACATCTGAAACTGATCTGTCAGCCAGAACTGCCTCAACCAATAGGGAGCTATGAGGATGAGTGTGGCCTGGTCACCTCGGGCCTTGGCAATCACTCTGGGGATTAGCACAATCAGTAGGAAGGTGTAAAGGAGGCCCTGATTCCACTGTAGAAGGAAGGTATCATCCAGCAAAGATCCTGGGTTCTTGCCTCCTTCAGAACAGAAATTTGAACACTTGGCATTGTTCATGGTGGTCAACAATCTATCACCAGTTTCCCCACTGGTGTTAATGTAAACTTTATAAAGGGATTTCTGCAATGATCACTTGTGGGCTGGTGAAAGACTAT